CACCTCCTGCCCTTTGGGCTGTCTCCATTTCAAGGCACAAGGTCCTACCTGTGCTTTCAGTATGAAAGGCAAAACTTGAGAGATGGTTATGGTTCCTATCCCACAGAACAATCCCATCCTTTGGATGCTGTCCTGGTTTCAGCTGGGACTGAGTTAATTTTCTTTCTCGTGGTTGTTGTGTTTCAGATTTGGTTTGAAAGGAATGTCAATAGTGCATATTGTTTCAGTTGTTGTGAGGCAACATTCATGTTTTTCAAGGACTTTTTTCAGCTTTCCATAGAAGCTGAGAAGGAGTGTAGGCAGAACAATGGACTGACCAATGGAATATTGTGTACCATAGATGTCACACTTGGTATATAAATGAGGTTAGCTGGGGGTGAGTACTTGCAATCGCTGCTTGGGAAGCTGCCAATTCACCAGTTTACCAAGTGGTGAGAGTGAATTGAGTTTTGTATATTCTTTTACCATTACTATTATTATTATTACTGTTTTCCTTTTCTGATATTGTTCTATTAAACTGTCTTTATCTCATCCCATGAGGTTTTTTTCTTTCCCTTTTCCCTCCTTTTCTCCCTCATCTCCCTGCCCTTCTGGGGGAGAACTACACGAGGAGGTGTGTGGTCCTAGCTGCTGGCTGGGGTTAAACCACGACAGATGCAAAGATGTCCAGCTTCTTACAACATGGAGGAGAGGAGCAGAAGGTGAGGCTGAGTACGGCCAGGTTTCCTTCTACAGAAGGGCATGGACAATGACACCTGGGGTCACAAAAGCAGGCAGAAACCCCTATAGAGCAGTGGGGTCCTGTGACAAGTGCTGTAGGACACTAGAGCACCTCCTCTAACTGAAGAGCAGTCTTCTGGAGTCACCCGGGCTGATTGCACATATCCAGCTCTGTGCAGCACCAAACTGATGGGAAACCACAAGCTTTATCCCATCTTTCCAGGCTGTCCCACCTTCCCAGGGCTCAGTTTGTGCTTTAGCACCTTTTGTTCCTTCTTCATGTAACTTTTTTTGAGCAGGAAGCTGAGCTAGAGATCTCCAGAGGCCACTTTGCATCCACACCAACCACAACCACACACTGCATCAGATCCCCCACAACTCCCAAATCCCACACTTGCATCTCCCAGGAGGTAACATACAACACAGTGCACCAGGTGCCTTCACAGAAGCTAAGGTGAAACTAAACCATGCAGCAGGCTGAGCTCAGACACAACAGGACAGAAACACACTTTTTCTCTAACCCTGAACTCTAAAACTTCAAGGGAGAGCTATCGAGTGCTTTTCAGATGAGCCCTGAAACCCATTCATAGCTCTACTTGACACCCAGGTCATGGATAACTCAAAGACTGGTGACGGCACATCACACATTCTCTCCCCTCACCAGCCCCTGCATGCTCCATAGGCAAAAAGCACTTGCCCCATCATGTACAGCTTCCCCTGATAAACGCCCAGCTTCAGCCCACAGGCGCACACTTGAGAAAAAAACCTTGAAGGTCCTACCTATGGTCATCAATCTCTGCCCATCCTAGAAATTTGCTGCTTTATTCCAGGCTTTAGAAATAATTAAAAAAAAAAAAAAAAAAACAAAAAACAACAAAAACCAAACAACAAAAAAAAACCCCTCGAAAACACCACAACAAACTCAGGTACCAGAAAGCATTTATTTTTCCTAACCATACTAGCTGTCTCAAAGCTACCTCTTCTAGCACCTCCAGACCTTGCCGCATTCAAACCCTTGGACTGTCACGGCTACAGTGCCTGCATGCAGCTGCTACAGGACAATACATGTGACCAGCTCGCCATAAGAGCCCTGTCCTGCCCATCTCCCAGTAAGTTGCTCTCATTTCACAAAGCATAGTGTCAGACTGTTTGGAGTAACATTTTCTGTTTCATTTATCTCACCCCAGAGAGAAAATGAGGCAGGGGTAGGATCAGAGAGCAAGTCAGAGCAGGGATAAGGAACGATTGAGCACCTCTGGGTTTGGGGGAGGTGAGGAATCCTAAAGGTGGAGGGAGAGAATGATACCTACTACAGCCCCGGGCAGAACCACAGCAAAGTTCAAGGTGATCATCTATAATCAATCAAGAAGATGTGCTTAATTAATCTCCATAACAAGGAGCCAAATACTGCTGTAGGAATCAAGTACACCAAGTTGAAAAGACAGACAGCCACTGACTGTTTCCCTGTGGAGGAGAAACGGCACCAGAAAGGGGGAGCTCTGGCCTCAGCGGGTTTCAGGACTGCAGCTGAACAAAGCCACAGCACCCAGATCTGGTGCTGGGATGGACTTTATTGTATATTTAAACAAAGGTCCACATAAGCACATATCCCAATCTACTTACAACTCTGAACACCTACAGCCGTAGCCAAGGGAAGCACCATTCCACAACGGCCAACTTCTCATTCTGTTCCAACACCAGGCCAAAACAGAGTACGTTCCCATCCACATTAGCACTGGTATCTCAGGTGGTCACATGAGGGCTGAGCTGAGAGGTGCTGCTCAGCCCAAACTCAAGCCTGAGCTACTTCTACCGCAGACAACACCATGCGAGCAGTACCCCTCTACTTTGCAGAGATACTCAAAAGCAACGGATGGTGGGAAGAAAGAAAAAAATAAAAGCAAGATTCTTTAAATCTGTATCCCTACAAGCCAACTCAGTGAAGAGCCTCTGCAGAGCTTACATTCTCCTGGGTGCCAGCTCTGTGCTTCTGCAGTGTTGTGGTTTAACTCCAGCTGGCAGCCAGAACCACACCACCACTCGCTCACTCCCCTCATTGCAATGGGGGAGAGAATCAGAAGAGTAAAAGTGAGAAAAAGCTCACGGGTTCAGACAAAGACAGTTTAATAGGTAGAGCAAAAGCTGCGCACACAAGCAAAGCAAACCAAGGTATTCAGTGCACTGCTCCCCATCGGCAGGCAGGTGTTCAGCCATCTCCAGGAAAGCAGGGCTCCATCACATGTAATGATTAATTGAGAAGACAGACACCATCGCTCCAAACCTGTGTCCCCCTTCCTTCTTCTTCCCCCAGCTTTATACACTGAGCATGGCAATACGGCATGGAACATCTCTTTGGTCAGTTGGGGTCAGCTGTCCCAGCTGTGTCCCCTCCCAACTCCTTCCACCCTCCCCGCTCTTGCTGGCAGGGAGGTGTGAGGAGCAGAAAAGGCTTTGAGCTTAGCAACAACGAAAAACAGCAGTGTTTTACCAACACAATTTTCATCCCAAATCCAAAGCAGAGCACTATACCAGCTGTCGGCAAGAAAGGTAACTCTATCCCAACTGAAACCCTGACATGCAGTTTCTTACACAGACCCCCAAGCCAACTCTTGTGGGGACTCCAGCCCCCGCAACAACCTCCTTCCTAACCTCCCCTGACCCCTGCCAGGCCCCCAGCCCACTGTAACACTCCCTTATTAGAGAGCATTAAATCAGTAATTCTGTGACACACAGGGGTGAGCAAGCACCAGAGGCATCTACGTCTCCCAAGTGCCTAAGGCCGGGAAATAGTCCCAGACACTCCACTGGTACTCTCAAGACACAAAACCACACTGAAGTCTTCAGAGGTCACTCATGTCTTTCATTAACCAGAAGGAAAAAGAGAAGTAAACCCAAAGAGGTGGCTAACAGCTGCCGTGTAGCAGGAGAGAGCAGACCCCACACTTCCCAGGTATCACAGAATGGTCAGGGTTGGAAGGGACCTCTGGAGATCTAGTCCAACCCTCCTGCCAGAGCAGGGTCACCTACAACAGGTTGCACAGGACAGCATCCAGGCAGGTTCTGAATGTCTCCAAGAGTGGGAGATTCTGCAACCTCTCTGGAGAGCCTGTTCCAGTGCTCTGTCACCCTCAAAGTAAAGAAGTCCCTCCTCATGTTAAGACAGAAATTAATGTGTTCAAGTTTGTGCCTATTACCTCTTGTTCTATCACTGGGCACCACTGAAAAAAGATTGTTCACATCTGCCTGGCACCCTCCCTTTAAGTATTTATAAGATCCCCTCTCGGTCTTCTATTCTCTAGACTAAAAAGACCCAAGTCCTTCAGTCTTTCTTCATAAGAAATATGCTCTAATCCCCTAATCATCTTTGTAGCCCTTTGCTGGACCCTCTCCAGCAGTATGCACAGGCTTATTGTGCAAGGCAACAAACCAACCTCCCTTCCAAGCCCTCCGAGTCAAAAGCAGCCAGCTATTGCAGTAAAGACACCACTGTGGCAAGGACAAGTCAGTTCCAGTCATTTATTCATTGCAGCATTTGAAGTACACCAGGTACTTGGTGAAACTCGCTAGGTAGACAACAGGAAGAATACTTGGTACAGTAAATTTATATAAAAAGACAGTTAAATAGATAAAATACCATGGCAACCTCTCACTCTCGCTACAAACGGAGCAGACTAGCCCTGCGCCCACGTCAGCATCAACAGCTTCAGTCTTTCCAGCCAGTTGTGGTTAAAACATATATGGCCCCATACCCAAGGGACAGCCAGGCATCTGTCCTCTCAGTTGAGGCAAGGGGTGTGCTGCTCAGGCCAGCTCTTCAGCAGCTTGGCTTCAGGAGCTGTGCAGAGCCTGACTTCCAGTAAGGTTCAATCTTGTTCAGCAGGGCTGGGA